ATTTGCAGGCGTTAGGAAGAATGGTGAGGTTAGCCGATGCCTATTCTTAATCTCCGCCCATGCACCCACCAACTGCACTTCGGTTGTACAAGGAATGAACTCTACCAAAAGCTGTCAATTTTACTACAGAAGGAAAAATGTTTAGATGCAGTCATAGTAGCGGCAAATGTCAACGCTCAATTAGGACAGTTGAGCCACTCTTGAAGGCATCTTGGGGTAACTATTGGATTCCATGCCCACGAACCAAAAACGGTGATCATCTGTCGAAATTCTGTTACGACAATCAGTACTATCTTCAAACACAAGGAAATACACTGTCTCACATGACGTTCGATGACATCAAACCAATGATGGACAAATATACATTATATTCCTATAAGCGATTGCTGGAGAGGATCAGTGGAGTATTGCCGCTCATTTCGGACTTCCTGTTTGAATTCCGACTCATTCAAACGGCTTCTGACCACAGTGATGAGTGGAAGCTGCTCTAACATAGATTAACTCAGAATCTACATAAGTTTACGCGAACAGTAGTCGGTGGCGTAAGCGACAGGGATGGAGAAGGCATCGAGTATTAGGTAATACCCGGTAATTAGCTACGCACACTTATGATACTGGCAGGAAGAAAACAATGGTTTGTGAGACAATAATCGACGAAGATGGTGCCCTGATAACCCTTCATGACGAGTGGCTAGAAAGTTGAGCGGAACATAGTTCAACTGACCCACAGCAGCGCTTTGGTTGCTCAACATCCAGCCCTAACCTGAGTGGGATGTGGTTGTCAGTCCTCCAACCCTGCTCGAAGTTGTGAAGGCTGTCTCAAACCTTAAACGACGCAAAGCAGCAGGACTTGACGGTTCGCCACAAGAGGCTCTTGAGGAAGGAGGTGGGAAATTGATAAGCAGAGTAACGAAGGTACTGGGTGGCCTATGGGGATCAGAGATAGTCCCAACAAACTGGTCTACTTCACCAATCATTTCACTTCGTAAAAATGAAGACAGGTTATTTTGCGGATACCATGAGACATTTAGTGTGACTAACAACGTACCCAGGATCCTATGGCTTAGAGTTATGCGATGCCGAATAGAGCTCGAGAACAGCAAACTCAAGAAAACAGACTTGCTTCAGACATAGACGATGGTGCATCCATCGTATCTACACCCTTTGTCGGGATATGGAACACAGACATAATTGCCCGTAGCCAACACGTGCCACATCTCTTGACCTGAAGGCAACAATCAACCATTATGACCGAGAGGTGTTGAGGCAGTCTATCTGTGAAGGGAGTATACAGTAAGTCTGTCACACCTATCAAACATCTCTCTTCAAACCAGTGCAGCCATCCAGGGTTTACGGAGAGTTTTCATCTGAATGGGCAAAAATTGGTGGTCCCCGCCAGAAATGCCAGCTATCAGTGTTCCAGAATAACTTCGTTGTAGGTGTTTTAATTGCAGTGAGTTACCACTGCTCAGACACATGTGATGCATAATCAAAACAGTGACTGACTTTGACGGTAAATTAAAAAACCTGAACGAATCCGTTCAGACACGCGAGATGCACAGCACACATAAGTTGTCTGAGAGAGTCGTGAAAAATGCCTACAAGCTTAACGATAATCTCATAGATGTTTGCTGTCCTAATCCAACACTATAACTCTACTGGCCATCTACCAACTAAAAATGAGTCTATGTTACTGTGACTATGTTAGGGTTGATATAGATGTTCAATGTTGTGTGACATGATTTGGGGATTGTGTGAAGTATACATATTGTAGTTACAATCCTTATTCTCTCTGCATGTCTTGAGTACTAATTTTAGTGAATCCTGAAAGGGGATTAATTAATTTATAACTCAATTCTAAAAACAGCACACTAATGGACATAACGTTAGGTACCTCAGTATGCGCATCACAAGTGCAAACCGTCGCTCACCTCGAATGTAACGCCAGCAGAAGTTGCATCGGGTTGGAGGAAGGCTCAAGATGACCAGACCAAGAAGTGGCACCAGTTCATGAAGTCTCCGACCGCTAGTCTGACCCATGTACTTAGGTGTTAACTGTCTGACTAGGGTTCACGAGACGACAGGAACCAGTGGTTGAAGACAAGGCCGGGAGTAGATTTAAATGGTTCAGGTCTACTCAACCTTTTGTGTCTTCCAATCCTTCAACATTTTCATCAACTTTGATTTTCAGATACCTATTCACCCCGTACACCACTGTATACTTTGGAATCACTTTTTCCACCATCTTCGCGGCATGCTACTGTTAAGTGTAACAACTTGAACTGATGCACTCCTTTGCAATTTTCTACGTTGATTTTCTCTGTCTGCTTGTCTATCTGATAGGAATGGCGAAATCAATATGAATGCTATACAAAAGGATCTTTGGTTGGAGCACGACACAAGAGATAGATGAATGGGATGTTTTATCCCATTGAGAACTGATTTGAGTGATACTTCAGCTAACTAGAAGCTGTAACACGAATCAGACACCAGAAGATTGAAATCATGTCGAGTGACATAACCGACACTCATAAACATGGTGTTACAAAGAGATAACCAGAGCGTAATTTGGCCACGCAATAGGAGTTAGCCACCATACTACTTCATGAGAGCTTTAAACGTTTGTGTGATTAAAGCGTACGATAATACATAGTTTATCAGCATCAGTAATTATATGCAGTGCGGCATCCATCTTAAATGATGCTCTCAAAATTCGCCTGCAGAGTGATGTATTCGCTTTAACCTCATGTAGTCTTTCACCACTTCGGAAACTGAGTCATACTAATAACACTTAATATGGCATTGGATTTTCAACACTAAGTGAGTCAAGTCAGTGGTCCTATATGGTTTAGAAACGTGGTGCATTACGAAAAGCATTTTCAACAAACTATGGAGATGCATCAATAGCTGCCGCTTACGCTCACTTGATACTGAAAATCAGAAGGCCAGAAAGAATAAGCAACAAGGACCTCTGACTAGCAACTAACCAACCAAGAACCCATTGTTCAACAAATATGCAGAATAAAGTGGAGATGGATTAGGCATATACTGAGAAGACGATTTGGGGACATCAAGCACGAGGTCAGGCCAGACCCTCGAGTGGAATCCAAAGGGGAAACGACGAGTTGGGCGTCCGAGAATGACATGGAGGAGATCATGTGAGGAAGAAATGAAAGCTTGTGGGCAGTCGTGAAGCCAAGTTGAAAAGACTGCAGAGAAGAGTGAAATGGCAATGTGTAACTGAAGCCCTATGTCCCACTAGGAACCCAAAGGACAAATACTAATGCTGATTCACTGTAAATTTCGACCAGGATAGAAGTCTGCTTTCGTTTAGTCGGTGTGACTAGTTATCTCCATCTTTGTAGGAATTAGTCTGACAGCGGGAAGTGATGCTGTTTTCAGGTAAGGGAGTGGTCAAAAAATGCCAGCATAGTGCTGTAGTCTTCTTTGATGTTCTATGACTTATGCACAGATGATGACCATTTTATTAGATGTATCTGGGTCAGCGGCGACTAGTTGAGAAGATTTCTTATTCTGATATGAAGAGTACATTTCATAAACTTTCGCGCGATTCAACTATATTAAACTCGTATGCTTTTGTGTATGCACTAACCACTGATACTCGGCGGCAGTATTACCAAGAACTAACCTAGTATCTTGTGTATGTTGGTCAAGTAGTCAGATTGCCAAGTGATCAAATGATTGAAAACTGCTTATGAGAATAAGAGATCTGAAGTGATCACCAGTTGAAGACTGAAGTAGAAAGTGTTCCAAATTGGCAATGCCAAAGCGAGAAATCAGCATGGATGCCTAACTTTAGCTTTTGGGTAACAGCATTTTACAGTGATTAGTGAAAAATGGGTTCCAAATTGTTGACGAAAAACTTGATGACATCTTCTGAACTTCGTTTATATAAGTTTAAATTCAGAACTACATTTCACCTCGTGAATCAACGACTTTTACCCACTACAATATTTAAAACATCTTCCACGTAAAATATGGTTCCAAAATTACGCTGAACTGCTCTTTTGTAGAATATTTTTATATATTTCATCTAAGACACCCGTTTAGGATGATTTGTTCTTTTGCTAAACTTATGTAAAGTGAGGTATTTTCAGACAGAATTCGTTGACAAACTACTAATCACTAGCGTTTTAGCGAGAGTTCAAGACTCATATTTGGAAATATTTTTATTTAACTACTTGGCTGGAGCACGGTCTCCTGGAAATTAAATTTTACCTTTCAAGACAAAAAAGGACCTAACTTTATATCACTCTAAGTGCTCACATTTAATTAAACCGGCATCTTACTTGTCACTATCACACCGTGCTTCAGATAAAAAGAACTGCTAAATGACTAAAGGATATCAAATCCATTCTCACTCACGAGATAGATTCTTCATAATATCTGCCTGACTAAAATATGATAAGCCTTACATTTACTATTATGGAAAGGCAAATAAAATGATCAGTACAGCTATGCCAGCTCATCCAATCGGTAGCTAACTATCCTTTCGAGCGCAGCATGAAATTCACAGCATGTCAAACCATCTACTAGGAGGATGAATTTTAATGAACTTTTAAGTATGTCATCTTCGAAGGGTATTATTCAAAGTACTAACAAAAAACCTAGTTTTAGGCAGGTGATGAAAGTAAAACACTTGGAAATATCGATAAATTTACTTGTGGCGGCTACTGAATCTCCTGTCACTCGAAGGAAAAGTAATTACAGTAATGCAAGGTATTATTTCAGGTTTGCTGCTATTTATTTTGTACATAAATAGACTAAGTAGCACCATTGACTCTCTTATAATTTCTTATAACTATGTAAAACCCTGGAAGGAATTAAGAAAAGATGATACCACACGAACTTTTGGAATACACGTGAGCATCTCAGTTGACTTGATCATATAGGCTTCAGTATTAGTAGCGAAATTTTAAAACAGAATGATATAATTTGACTGAATTCATCTTAAATTAACAAAAAACTTGACTGCGTACTTGCTCAGTGCCGGCCATAAACTTTGTGGGTATTGTGGACTCATACTCTAGTGTATATGCCCCTTGGGCACAGTAAAAATCTTGTTTTTAGTAGGGTCAAGATAAATGAACTCTGTGGGCTCCGACATCTTCCTTACATCCCACCAGAATACTTGGCCATCAGTCCCCGTTGAAAAACATTCGGTGCCAGTTTTTGATTGTATCCACAATACTTTCCAAACAGGGTCTCTGTGACTATGCTCAACTTGTGATACTTCAACAGGAATTGACCCTCTTCGTCTGTCCCACAATGCTAGAGTTTGTAGAAGGGAAAATCACAAGAAGTACTTACCAAGTTGTCCATTGTAGCAACCTCCGATTAGAGTGTGGGAGTCTTTGGGTTGTACTCAATGCAAACAAGGGAGGAAGCTGGTTTGAGCGTCAATTCAGGTCTGTTGGGACTGCTGACGTCCCATATGTATGATTCATTGGAGGTTTGAGGGGTAAATTGAAATTCTGTATTGCAATAGGCAACCGCTAATTTGGTTGGTCCATCTGGAAACCAAGATATGTGAGCGATGCTACGTTTGCAGTCATTTACATCCCTGAAGTGATCTGTAAGAAGAATTTGGTCTCACTTAAGGGCGTTTATGGTCCTTGCGGACGCAGCGTCTTCAGAACAGGTCATATCAAAATCCTCGTAATAATTTTCGTATATATTTAATGAATTATTTTGCTTGATGCAATGTTCCATAATCTGCCCAACTTGTAAGGAAAATAATCAACATACGTTGCCCAGCTTATGAACTGTTGCAATATACGATTCATCTTTTTCAACCTTTTTACGATACCTAATTATCTGGTCAGGCTCTTGTGCATTGACATCTTTCGGCCAGCCACCTTCTGTGTGATTCATTCCACGGGATTCTGTACGATATCTCTCAGTGTTGGCTTCATGTTCAGACATTTCTTTGGAGCACTGAACGCCCGTATCAACAGGATTCATCTCGACAAATTTTTGAGACAGATCAACATCTGGAAATATTTCAATTAGGATCTCTGCATTTTTATCGCTGAAGTTGCACTGCTTCCCGAAATCTGATCTTTTCTTAGCATAAACGTAGTTGATCTCCATTTTTTAAATGATGCAGCTACTCGAAACCAATGGTACCTGGATCCAATAAACAATTTCCGGAATCTTTATACAAGTTTGTGTAAGCTAATTGATTTCTTCACGTTCCCTTCTAAAGAAGTGCATGGCACTTCCATATCTTCACTGGTTTCCAATGAGGTAGGTCTTCTCCCTTGCCCACTGTAGCTCTGATATGCTTAACGGTGAATAAATTTGTAAGGCTTTTATGATTTGTCAAATGATGTCGATCCAGATAGGCTCCTCAGATATCATGTCGCCAGATAGCTCTTAGGACTGACAATAAAAAGGAGACAGTAAGGATGAAAATATGTCCAGTGAAGTCAAAGAAGTGTGGGAAAAAAAGCTTAAAAGAAGCAGAACGAAACTAAAATGCAGACCTAGGTAGACATAACGATGGCAAAAAAGGGAACAGCGATGACCGGCTTAAAAAATGGGGCGAGACCATAGAGGCAGAGAATGGAGAAGAAGCAAGTAAGATTGAAGGGGTGATAACTGGACTAGAAGTAGCAATGTTATCAGCAGGGGTATGGTGGCTGGAGGTGAGACGTCTGGCAGGAAGTTATAAGCTCGAGTCAACTTTACGATGATCATAACGGTACAGAAGATTTTGTATGAGGTTTCCTGTGTCATGGTGTGCGGGAATATTTGGTTGTAACCACCTAGTCCGTGTCCCAGTTGGATGGCTGCAAGCCGAGCGTCGCTGCTTAGCCTCCTGACCTCCTCTTGAAGCTGTCGGCAGTTGCGGCAGTAACAACCTTGAAGGCGATGTGTTCCAGCGACTGCAAAGTCGCAGGCAGAAGGGATGTGAGGGCACACGAGCTTTTGTTATTTAGTGGGTGATCCTCCTTGGGTTCCCACAAGAATTGCCACAGCTGCAATTCGGCAGGATTCCACTATTTGGTTGGCTTGGATTGCTGAGTGTTTTGTAAGTCATTATTAAGTCACCACATGGCCTACGGAGAACAGGGGAGATAGACCCTAGTATAGCCTCCTGTATTCAAAGGTGCATTCCCGTATTTCTACAACATCGTTCCTCGACTTTGGATCTTCTCCGGGAGGTTCGCATCGCTCTTCAGATGAGTGAGGTTATAAATAGGTCTTGTAGAGCCTTGAGATATCCAGGGTAAGAGCGCCTGGTTGCCTGCGCAGGGAATCCATTATTGGGTAGGCTATGGAGGCACTTCCTGGAATTCCAAGCTTGAACAGATCAACAGACGCCTTTAAGCCTACTCCTCAGCCTTGTGGAACGATTCCGCGATTTTCGTCTATATCGATTGAGTAAATCCAAACCGTCACTTACTGTAGCTCTGCTAAACGTGAAAAGTGGCCAGGGGTTGTCTGCATTTGCAAGGAGATCTACAATTTTTCCTTCAAGTGGTTAGAATGATTGTCGGCGGAACATAAGAAGCTTCCACCTAATTGGCTTCCGCATCTAGAATCAGTGGACCAGTAGACCCTTTGGTCGTTAACATGTGTACAAATAAGGATCGGGGCCAAAAGCAGACATGCTACGAAAATGAGGATGGTTGTAGTGAGCTCCAGTTATATTTCAAAGTAGCCTGGACCACTTCTGTGGATAGGGCGTTCCAGGGCTTAAAAACCCTTACAGAGTAAAATCTATGCCTGATGTCTAGGATTAGTTTCTCTGTGGTTCCTTCGAGATTTATGTCATAAATAATAATCAGTGACTGACAGGGAGGACGTTTAAGGGTGTTTGGGGTACTGTGGGCCCTTATAAAGTCTCTCTTCAGTCTTCTATATTCCAGGGGACAGATCAGGTGTGACCAGCCGCCCTTCATACTTTTGAAACCTAAGTCGTTGAATAGATTTGGTCTACCGCCTTTGAAGGTGTTCTAGGCTTAGTTTGTCTTTCTGAAGAGAGTCGGGGAAGGTGTGCTGCTTGCAAGAAACTTCAGGTCTCTATTCTCCCTTTTTGGGTGGTAACCAGCTCTCTTTTGATACCCATTAACATAATAATGACGTTCACAGGAACGTCTTCAGATTCAGACTTGCGCAAAAGACAACGACAACTTCTACCAAGTTTGCTAGAACTAGCTTACTCAGATCGCGTTAAATCGATGCAAGGACCATGAATCCATCCATCGCAAGTACCACACCGCGTGCCAGACTTCGCGGGATGAAGACAATCCCACCTCTTACTCGTCTGCTGTTTAGCAACTATCGTCGTGAAGACATATGATAAGGAGAGGGAGAATCGATACAAAGTGCTCCATAAAACTGCAAAGAAGCGTGAACCAAGCGCGTGTATTACACCGAATCAAAATGAGGCCACAGCATCGCAGCAGATATAGAATCCCAATCAGCAATGTGGAAGACTTCCTGAGCTCAAAGTTCTGAAGGAGTACTGCCGTTGAAAACTGAAGCCTTTGCTGTGTTTTTACACAGCACAAGCCAAAACGTCAACTCATGGTGAAATAATACTTCCTTTTAAGACTGTCGGAGGATGAACCCCTCCAGTGTCATGCCATCTGACATTCGCATGCAGCGGTCGCAAGGGTAACATATGGGGGTAGTAAGATGATCGAGGGCAGAGGAGAGAAGAATTGGGGAAGACAAAAGTTGGAGAAGAAAAACTACTAGGTCACCTCATAACTCTCGGGAAAAGAAAAAGCCTGTGCCCTTTAACCTATCACTGGATTTTCAGACACTCTTTCTTGGTTTATTTACGGAGTTTTGTAGTGGGTTTACGCACCTTTTCATATGCGGTGATGAAATGACTTTCTGAAAATCTAAGTGAGGGCTCCTGAATATTTACTTATGAAGCTTGGTATTACGTAGACTTTGAAGGCATACCCTGGAAAGTGAGAACCGTCATCTATCTCGTCGGTCACTATTGATCTTGGGTGTATCTACGTGATCATATGAGAAATGTGCCTACGTCAGAGAAAATACGACACTTTCTGCCAGTTTGAAATATGGAAAAATGTGGTTTGCGCCTGTCCGAGTTGAAAAACTGTTTCTTATTTTTCACCTCCCACAGTGTCCTTCAGCACGGATAGAACCACTGTTGCTCAACCTTGACATTTCATTGATAAGAAAGACGTATGGATCTGCGTGAAAGGCCTTAATCAGGTTCAGAATGGCCACAGGAACAGGAACCTGAAGGAAACAGCATGCCAAACAGTTGTTACAGGTTGCCAGGAAGTCCAGGGCGCGCGACTAAATCTCCTAGAAGTCATTCTGAGCATCAGTACTCCTGTCACCTGCTTGTATAGAAATAAGCTTCTTTTGTTATCTTAGCTGTTTTCACGGAGTAGCCTTAGATCTTTTCATTGCGCAGTATACGCTTTTAAAGTGCGCATAAATCCGTTGATTGCTTCGCGCTTTATTCTATGTTCAATTGAACGGTTCCAGTTAACTGATGGATTCTAAAGCAGTAGATTCAGTCTCCCTTTATCTGCGGCTTCTATAGACTCGGCGAGTGCCTTACCATGGCTTAAGTTTATTGGCAGTTGTTCGATTTTTAGGAAATGTCCTGGTGCGAACTTGAAAAAAGAAGAGGCCAATCACCAATTGTTCGAACTTGTCATATACCCACGAATACAAGACCAAGAAAGAACACAATAGCGTAGTCGGATGGAATAGTATATTTGCGAGGTCGTGCCAAGATACCGATGCGTTCCAAATAGCTGGCTAGGGAGGCGATTACGAGCAGTGCAATGTAACACGACAGCGTGCCAAACAGCGAGGATGCTTGACCAGGTGCCTTCAGCTAAGCGAGTCCAGTTAGACTATTGAGGTCAGCATTAATGTTGAATCTCGTCCAACCTTAGGCTACTGATTTTGAAGAATTGTATGAGCGTACAGATTTGTCCAGATATTACGTAGCTGGTGGGATCTCCAAGTTTCGCGCCGCTAGTCGGTT